TAAATAATGTTCTTACACAGTTCCTCTTGTGGGAGGTTGGGTTATTACTTTGGTAATGGAGCACTTGGTTAGTGTGGGTTGTTTTTCGATAGACTTGTGTTTCTAATTTGCCATCATTTGCTTTGCTGATGAGGATATCCAGGAAGGGTAGTGTGTTGTTGTTTTCTTTTCTTGTGAATTTTATTCCTTTGAAGATGTTGTTGATAGTTTCATGTCTCTTCTCTAATTGTTCTTTTTTTATTATGATGAAGGTGTCATCTACATACTGGATTCATACTTTTTGTTGTATATCTGGGAGTGCTATAGTTTCTAGACACTGCATTACAATCTCTGCTATGGGTCCTGAGAGTGGGGATCCCATGGGTGTTTCTCTGATTTGTTGGTATATTTGTCCATCAAACTGAAAGTAGGTAGTAAGGCAGAGGTTGATGAGGTCCATGATTCTGTGTATTTCGATCTTAGTATATTTGGTTAGGTTGGGTGTGTTGTGTAGTACTAGAATACTACACTAGAGTAGTAAACAGTACTCTAATCAAGAAGCTACCAAGGAGACAAATAATCAAGCAGACAAACAATCAAGTAGAAAGCAATACCCTAATCAGGGAACTACCAAGGGAAAACTACATCTCACCAACACTGGCAAGGCAAGCTACTGTATATAAACAGGGAGCAAACCCCACACTCACTAGCATTGATGATGTTACCTAGTGGGGTAATGAAACGTCTGCAATCAAACAACCAAGCTCAGCGAGCACCAAGGACTCCACAGTTCAACCCTGAGCTACAGATATTCTCTTCTAATGTGTATTCTTTTCATTGAAATTCTTGAGCAAAGATGAGCAAAGGATGCCCAGGTTGTATGGTAGGGAAGTAACAGTATTGGAAAGAGGACAATGATGGAAACACGTTTAAGGTCAGAGAGACAATTGTTTTTTTAACACATCAGTCAGTCTCCTCTTCTAAGCAACAACTAAGCAATAACTGATATATACAACAATGAATATATATGAACAATTTTCAGCCTCCTTCTTGCAGCCACATTGGTTTTCATACAGGAAGCTGAGGAAGCTAAAAATGCCTGGAGATAAACCCTGAATTGGGATCAAGTTGTGGCACTGGGATGGGGGTGGGGGTGGGGAACATATAAATTATCACCCAAATTGCTATTTATTCTGCAAAGGAAAGCACATTGGTATCAATTTAAATAGGACATATAACTATCAGATTAAAAAAAATATCACTATCCTTTCAAGTACATCCTTTTGACTATGTGGGTGAGAAGAGGAAGTTATCCTGCATTAATTAACACTGAATAAAAGGATGTGATTTTGTCTATATAATTAATAGATGTTTCATGATCTTTAAAATCTGCTTGTATGCAGAAATTTAGCAGGTGCATATTTTCTAGTTCAGGAAAAATGTTACCTACAGAATTTGTTTATATGAATACAGGGGCAGCCAAGGAAGGGGGAAATAACAAAACCTCCAGATTCAAGAGATGCCTCTGTGTCAGTACAATTTTAGAGTTAAACAATAGGAACAAGATGAGTAAACAAGATTGCAACCCAATCTAATAATACCTGTAATTTTGTAATGCAGTGTTCAGCCTCTATCATGTATAAATCTAATCAGATTTCAACAGTGAAATGGGGTTCTTTGTTTCCTACTCTTGAGGTCAGCCTCAGGACTGCAGAATGCATAGCACAAACCACTCCCTCCTCCTATTACTAAGGTTGTAAAAGTATTCTGTCACAGATCTTGCTGGTAGCAAATATGATATCCATGCTAGTTTTCAAGAACAACATTCAGCTGATTCTCATCTTTTCAGTTAAAAAGTCTTACTTTTGAGAAGGGAGGAATGCACATATTCCCTTTCTATAGCAAGCAGCAGCATAAAGTAGACTCTTTGCAGAGTCCCTTCTGCAGAACCTCCTGGAAGGATCATGTGACCACATGAGATGTGCTGTTGGAGAGTTGAGTACAGTATTATCTACCTTTGTTTCTGCATATGTTAATCTCTTTAGTCCAACTGTTCTATGAAGCGGGAAAACAATCCTACATTTGCTCACTGGAAAACAAAGAGCCCTATTCTGTGAATCAGCAGATTCAAATTGTTCTAGTAACTTGGTATGTTTTACACTTTAGATTGGGTTACTTTTTTGCAACCTCGCTCTGTATAGACAAAAGAAGAAATTCATTTGGAGAGATGTGTAGCGTGAGCTATATGGGGATATACAAAACAGTACTAATGTTTAATATTGCTATAGCTTTTTTCCTAAGCGCATAAACTACTTCCAATAATCCCAATAAATTTGAGAACAACCTTGTGTTATGGTCAGGATAAAAGTCTACCTATTCATAAAGGAACCCAATAAAGTTGGTGGATCCCTGAATCCAATTCAGGGATTCTCCAACATATAGGCATGACTCTACATTATTTTGCTAAGTTTTGCATTCCACAGTCACACTATAATTTAAAACAGAGACCCTTAACATCTTCTGTGGGCACCAATATGCCTGGTGACAACTCCCTTTACATTTCCCAGGACTTCTGCCCCATTAGATCTTTTGTTTACCTTATTTTAATTGAATGAACAAACACTTAGAAAGCTAAGCCTTTGCCCATCTTTGTGTGGTGTACCAGTTATGCCCCTTCTTGGATCAGGAGGCTCTCGGTCAGTCACTCATGCCCTGGTCATCTCTCAGTTAGACTATTGCAATGCGCTCTACATGGGGCTACCCTTAAAGAGTATCCAGAAGCTACAGCTCATTCAAAATGCAGCAGCGTGGATGATATTAGGTGCCCTAGGATGGCACATGTGACACCTTTGCGGGAGCTGCATTGGGTGCCAGTTTGCTTCCAGGTCCAATTCAAGGTGTTGGTTATCACCGTTAAAGCCCTACATGGCATGGGTCCAGGTTGCCTGAGGGACTGTCTCATCCCCATTACATCAACCTGTCCCACCTGGTCAGGCAGAAAGGGCATGTTGCAGATCCTGTCAGTGAGAGAATGTTGGCTGGTGGGGCCCAGGAGGAGAGCCATCTCTACCATTGCCCCCACCCTTTGGAATGTTCTCCCCCCAGAGATGGGGTGGGCCCCTACCCTCCCAGCTTTCCGAAAAGGATTAAAGACCTGGCTCTGCCAGCGTGCATGAGACAACATGAGCTCTAACCTTCCCTGGGGGTGGTTAGCGCCCTGAGTTATTTGCCAACTCTCCATCTTTCTTGGAAGCTATTTATTCTTAGGATTGTTTTTATATTGTATTTTAATGAATTTCATCTCTGTTGTAAACTGCCCAGAGTTGTTTCAACGAGATGGGTGGTGACAAATTTTTATCTATCTATCTATCTATCTATCTATCTATCTATCTATCTATCTATCTATCTATCTATCTATCGCAAAGCAAAGCGTCAGCCTCAAATATACTCTTCATCTCAATGATATCTGTTGGCTCCACATAACCCCCCAAAATAATATGGTGAGTGGTTGCAGTTCAGTATTCTCTATATCCATCTGCCCAGGAAAAAAGACAAAGAAAACTTGAGATGATGGGTTACTTCCTAGCATGCTAGAAGTTGGGATGGAGAGCATCTCCACCTATTTCATTTTCTGGTAAATGTGTGCTTTGAGCCCTCCCCAGCAGCCATTTTATAGCCTGCCCATAATATGCTTTCAAAATTCCAAATGGTATCACTGGAGGTGCTTATTTAAAACTTCAACAGTGTAGTTTACAGTTTGGCTGAGTGCAACACAGACAGAGGTCTTCACATAGTTGTATATGTATATGTGTATGTGTGTGCATGTGTATGTGTATGTGCATGTGCATGTGCATGTGCATGTGCATGCACAGGTGTGTCTGCCAGTACAACTTCTCCCTATATAGATGAAGAGGAGTGTGCTCAGAATGTCATTCAGATCACCCAATAGCCTAAGTGTCCACTTCCAGCTCTCTTTGGGGGCCATAAAACAATTTTGAATA